CTGAGTAAATAATTCCTCCAATTTAATACAATAGTTCGGGAAACTGGAGTCTCCATGATTAAGAGAGCTCCTCTAGGATACAGGTAGTAATATTCAAGAATATGACGTGAACTTTGCTGTTCTATCCATAACCATCATACAAGTAGAGTCCCATTTTAATTTTAAAATATCCAGAGGAGGAGGAAAAATATAAATAGTTATACCTGCACACAATGTATTCTAAAGTCATTCACCAGGGGTTTGCTTCCACTCATCTTTTTAGTGTTAAGAATATAATAGTCTTAAGAATATTACTTAAAAAGCTTAAACATGACAAGGTTTTGTAGATTATTGGGTTACAGTATAGCAAATGGGCTTCCTATTCTAACTCAAGCCCTCAAGCCTGCATGTGGTCCGCTTTAAATTCCTTCATGGTTAAATTGCCTTAACGGTATCTTTAGGACCACAAATAATAATTCAAAAATTCACCACATGTGGTATGAAAAGATTAGACACATCTTAAGCAGGCTGGGACTTAAATCCAGGTTGATAATACAGTGGATAAATTATATGCCATAAAGGCAGAGGAGAAAGAGCAAAGGTTTAGCAAAAAGAAGATATAATCAGAGGACACAAGCCTTCATATAAATCAAGCCTTTCTATTCCAGGTGATTATTTCATAAACTGTATCTTGGACTGTTGATCTCTTTAAATGATTACAATAAAATGTATGCACTTTTAGAGAGCTTTGCTGGCTGATTTATATTTCAGACATTTTTCCATCAGTTTTCATTCCTTTAAAATATGGTCTTCATAATAGAGTTGATATTTTCAAATAATATGAAAAACTAGAAATTCAATTTGTATAAAAGCTTTGTAATCTTCATGTACAATTACTGCATCACATTTGGAAAAATAGTGATAAAAGAAGCAACCAAATGCATATTCAGACGAGACTCATTTTGAAAAGATAAGATCATTCATGGACATGTTTTTCTCCCCTCTTTTACCTCTAAATTTAATAGCCTTGCCAAATGATAGGATGAGACTTGTACTTCCTCTAAAAAGAAGGAAAGATGGGCTTCTACAAAGTGAACTAGAAAAGGAGAAGCAAAGGAAAGGGTCTGTGCGATATTCCATCTTCCTCACCAGTTGGTGTATTACTGAGCAATCTTAGAGAAAAGTGGTTTTTTTTTCTAGTATATTTTTAAATTGCCAAAGCTGCATCTGGTTTAACAGAAGAAAAAAATACACATGCAGCACCTATTAGTCTTGATAATATAATTTATTTATCCTAATGTCTGCAATAAAGACAGCAAGAGAGCTACAGAATGCTCTTCCTATAAATGGATTGAAGGAGTTAGCTAACTGTTCTGCACAGGTAGAACTTGTTCTTCTTGGCCTGCATGTGCAGGCTGAATTGTTCTTAATCCATCTACTCTGTAAGAGATCAACTAGACAATGAAATACTCATGAAACAGAGTTAAGTCACAGAGCAAATATACAAGGACCTGTAGAAGAAAAAAAATCTTTATTCCATACAATGGTTTAAAATAACATAATTTAATAAAACAATGTTATTAATAAAAGTCAAAATATGAAGAGTATTTTAAGGCCATTACTGCTGCCCTTCCCAAAAGTTATTCAAGGCTACATCATGTTTCTAAAGCAGAAATGTTCTCCGTTTCATTTTCTGAAGATCACTTATTTGCTTTGCATGCTACAACAATGCCAATAAGTAACCTAGTCTATCAGTGGAGCTTTTAGTTGTAATTTTTAGTTGCCTAATCATTGTTATACTAATTGCTAAGCAAATGCTTATAGAGGCCAGTGTCCAATGAGGTCTTCTACATAAATTTTTCACACTGCTTTCTGAGGAGAGGGAAATGTATGATATGTGCAGCATAAGATGGCTGTTTCTGTCATATCAGACTGATTGGAGGAGGTAAGGACAACACCATTTAGACCAAAAAATTAGCTATATAATATGCCATAGCCACACAGAGATGATAGGCCCAGGAGAAAATATGAACTGAGATTTTTATATTCTATTTAACAACTTCCCATAAGTTTCCTTATTGTGGTTTTTTTTTTTTTTACTCTGTCACATATTTAAAATTTTTGTTTCCCCTAGAAACTTCTGAGATCCCTAAGTACTGTTACTTCACTACACAGGTATGGTTTTCTAAAGTGCTTTAAATGGGCTGGGATGGTACTAAGAATATAGTAGCTCTTCATGAAAAATATTTATAAATTAAATTTTGTAATTGTGTCTTATGCAATCAAGGCTTTACACATGGTACAAATACTCTGATTTAAAAAAAATTAATTACGTTAAAAACGGCAGAACATGTTGTACCATGAATAAGTGTTTTATTGAATGAAGTATTTTTGTTAGTAATCAATGTCAAAAAGGAAAATACTTTTTTATCCATTAATTTGAAAATATTGGCAGTTTTAAAAGGAAAAAAAGGTGAGGAAAAAACCCTGCAAATTGCTTTTATAAGTTGGATGCTTAGAAACAATGGTATTGATGGGGAAAAAAAACGTTATTCAGTCTTAGAAAACAAGACTCACTACCCAGAATTTTTATCAGAAAAACAATGCAATCATGGCCAGTCAGGCCTGAAAAGTACAATAAAACAGTTCTAGAATAACATTAGGATTAGAAGTGAGGAATTCAGATAATTTTTACATTGTGGATCTTTTAAAAATAAACATGCTTAATTTTAAAATTGAATTTCAATAATAGAAAATTGAGCAAGAGTTTTCTTTATAGGATTTTAAAGAGTAAAAGTCAGTTTGTGAATAATGTGGCATATTCCAGGGGTGATCGAACAGTATAGTAAATGTTTAAATTAAAAAATTTGTACACTAAAAGTTACCTTACCATTAATTCCCCTCAAAATATTCCCTCTTGCTTCACTTCAAACAAACACACTTATCCCATTGTTTTGCCCACTGTGAAACAGTTCTGGAGGTCCTCTTTCAAGTCTTTATGAAGTCTGATCGACAATGTGGTAGATGTAGTTGCTGAATACCATGCAACAAACAGGTAGCTCATCACAACACTATGGTGTGTCCTCATCCTCCTAATTCACTGGATCTGGCACCCTGTCACTATGGCTTTCCCCACAGGCAAAATGGTCATGAAAGGTAAATGTTTTGAAACCATTTAGGACACTGAGAGATCGAACAGTACAACCAGAGACACTCATGAAAGGGAACTTCCAGAACTGCTCCAGAAAGTGACAAGGATGATAGAATAAGTATGTTTGAATCAAGGGGGAATATTTTGAGGTAGTTAATGGCAATGTATCTTTTAGTGTAACAAGCTTTTTTATTTAAATACACCATAATTTATGACACTTCATTACATATTTATGCGTGCATGTACATTATATATATATATAAAACTTCTTACTAAGCTTTTAAAAATTACCAAATATTCATAAAAGTGATTGACTACATATGTGTATACATATATATGAACTATAAAGATCAAATTAGCGAAGAGATTAATGACTCAAATTCTATGTTAACTCAGATAATGTAAAGCTGAAATTACATCATTTAGTGTTTTAAATCCACATAGCAACGTGCATTTTCTTAAGAAGAAAAACCTGGGAGCAGGTCAGCTTCAAGGATGCACAACCAGTGAAGTTGGACAAGCTGTCCAGTTTAGAAGGACTTTATGTGGAGACTGACTAATGTTCTCTCATAGCTGTCTTATACTTTCTTAAAATTTTCAAAAGTCTGAATTTTTATTTGGTGTGGGGGGTCCTGAAAATTATTTATCTGGTCTTCTCTGGGTGCCTGACTTTCCTAATGATGTTTGAACTGTACGTATTTTATGTTTTTGAATTACTATCTCAGATTTTCTGTGAGGCAAATAATGGCTCAAATTGTAAAGCCTGGGCCTTTCTCCTTCCAAAGATGACTAATCCAATTTTGTCTTTCTAACGCTGGCTAAGAAAGGAGGGAGAACTTGCTAAATGTAGATCATCAAGGAGCGCTCAGATGGCCTATTCTCCTCTTTCTTCTTTGACACGCTGATTTCAATCACCCAAGAAATGACTCACTACAAAAATTATTTTCTCCCATTTACCAATTGAAATATTTTGAATTTGTGCTTCACCTTCTTCCAAAGTCATGCGAAATTCTTTTAAAGTAAAATATAGTTTTATATAATACAAAAATGAATATAAAGTAGCATTATTATTTAAAAAGAGAAGGAATATGAATTAAGTGTCTAAAATAAGGCAGCTAATTATATGTACCCATTCACTAAATTTAACTTTTAGATTATAATTTTTATTAACAGATAGAAAGCTGGCAAACTACTTATCAGTAATTCATTATTTCAAATAACAGTAGAATTTGTAAGAAAAAAATAAAATTTAAAAAGGTGCAGATATATTTTCAAATAAACAATTTTAGAGCTTGTCCTTTATAAAAGTGGAAATCATTGAATTATAAGTTGCTTTACTCTGTGATCAGTAGGTTAATACAGTGACTCAATTTAGAAAATAATGAATCACATGAGAGGTTATTGCCTATATTTTTGGATTTTCAGTTTGTCTTTGGAAGTCTCTTGAGTACTTTCAGTGCATGTTTAAGTTCTTATTAAAATCCCGAATTTAGATGTTTTATGACATTTTTCTTTTACCTTTGATCCTGTACTCTTCATAGACAAACAGAAACACTGAAAAATCAGTGGAGAAAGTTGAAACCCAGTGGTGACACCGAGACACAGTTTGGCAGGCAAGTCACTCTGAGGAAATGATTCTGTAAGGCTGTATAGATGGATTAGGCCTTTGTATGTCATGATTTGCCATTATTCAGACATGGCCTAAGTGAGGAGGATGTTTTATTATAAAGTTGTCTTACCTCTAAAAATTTTCAACTTAAATATCTTCCATTTTGTCATTTCAAAAAATTCTATGAAAGGATTCAAGGATTTTGCAGACGAAAACATGCACTCTCTAAATACTGTACTACCCTTCCCAGGTCATACTCACATTCAGGCTGAGTGGCCACCTTGATTGGTTGAGAACTCTCCCCCGGTCCCCACTCGTTGTAGGCAACAACTCGGAAGGTGTACATGGCTTCTGGTTTCAGGTTTCCCACAGTAAGCTGAAGGGACCCAGGCTGGGTTGTATTCAATGCTCGTTCCCTAGGAAACCAAAGTTGAAGAAAGGGATTATTCCAAAATGAATACTTTTAGCCCCTATCTTTTCTTGCTGTACAAGAGTAATGAGCAACCAAAAGGTTGTTAACTCATTTAATGATGACCGGGATATAATTTGAGACCTCTGAGGCTTACTATGGGGAAAAAAATGAATGGGAAGAACCTGCAAATCAATGTTGCAAGCTTTTGGGGAGTTCAAGATCTTGTCATTCTCCATGAAACTTGCAAACTAAAGTCTTCCCTTGACACTTTACAATTTAGAATTCAAAACTCATGACAACCAAAGAGCTATTAAAAGAGAAGAAACATCTGGAATTCAGACAGGAAGATGCATTTTGTAAACATCCGGCTAATGACAGGAATCACAGTTTCCATTATTCCACAAATTGGTCTTTGTTCGTATTGCCAACAAATGCATTTATGCATTTTCTTTCATTGTAGGAAAGGAAAATGCAGACATTAAGTGTTCCTATGTCTGTCTGGAGCTGGGGCTCCTGCAGTTACTTTAAGTGCAGTTACTGAAAGGAAGAAAATCCACTTTGTAAAAAGAAACAATAACAAATGTCTGCTCTCCTTATGCTTCAAGCCACATCTATGCATGTTCAACACATTTACCACTAAAAACTCCCTCCACACTGCAAACAACTGAATTAATGTGATCATGGTAAGATTTACAGTTCACATTTAGAGAAGATAAACTCTCTGACAAGGTTGATATAATTAAGAATAACAAATTAAAGTATTCTTTAAGGATGCACATTATTCTCAATATAGATATATCTTCTTTGGCCTTCAATATGTAATTGGACTGCATGAAGAAGGAACTCCTATACTACTTAACTCTTTCTTAAGGTTTCTAATCCTACATAATATCTCTTACCTATGAGTGCAATTATGTGTACATTTTAATTTCGTCGTTGAGTTTTATTTTTGGATATATGTAAAGTGGGATGTATGTTTTTTACCAGGACAAATTATGTTTTCAAGAAAAAAGTTCTAAAGCACATAAACATTGATTCCCAGACATATGTTCACGTTTAACATGATGCAGCAGAGACTGGCTAGCTCATCCTTAAACCTACAATTTCTTCAGATGGTACAAGACTACACTTGCAAGCCTTCCTAAAGCTTAGCTGTGTACTCTTCGAGATTGGGCCTAAGAAAACTGCACAGAGCTAATCCTCCCTGTTTTCTTCCTTTACCTGTGGCTTGAGGTAGACTTATGTTAGCAGTCATATGTTGATGATGGAGGGATCAAAATTCACAAGAATTTTAGAGAAAAGATGGGAAGGAAAACCTGCCTGTCAATCAGGAGCATCTTTTTCATGATTTATAAGTCAGAAGTAATTTTGAACCATTATGGATCTTAGCACTGATTTGTTGTATGTTAACATAATTATATCCAATACAACTAATAATTAGAATGTGCACTCTAGGTGGTTATCAGAGAGTGGAGGTGGGGTTAGTGTTTAATGGAGATAGTTTTAAGTAGAGGATATAAAAGTCTGCAGACAAAGTGAATGGACCTAATACTATGGAACTCTACACTTAAAAAGTTTGAAATTATAAATGCCATGTGATATATATGTTATCCCTATTAAAAAAGCACCTATGTGACCCCATTATACTCTTCAGTTGGATATTCTTTTAGAAATACAGTGTTGCTAGAAGGTTAAATTAGAATACCTTCACATCCAAGGACTAAAGAGCTAAATGTAAAATCTGATACTATGCAGACTACAGGAAGAAAACATAGGAGAAACATTTGAAGACATCAGTATAGGGAATTCTTTTTTTGGTTAAGATTTTAAAATAGGAAACACAAGCTAAAATAGTCAAATGGGAGTACTTCTGACTATGAAGATTTTGTACAGCAAAAGAAATAATCAATAGTGTGAAAAAATAACATATAGAAAAGGGAAAAAAAAGGTTTGCAAACTACCTGACCAAAAAAAAAATCATATCAAGAATATATAAGGAACTAAAAATACTTAACAACAAAAGCCAAATAATCCAGTTACTTAATGGGCAAGTGATACAGAATGACATTTTTCAAAAGAAGAAATTCAAATGGTCTACAAAATTTTAAAAGAATTATTAACTTCATTAGCTGACAAAAAATATAAATTTAAAAACACAATGAAATGTCATCACATACAAACACACACACACACATACATATACACACATGCTAAAGAGTGTGTGGAGAAGAGAAAATTCAGATACACTGTTGATAGTAGGGGAAATTAAGACAGCCATTAAGAAGAATATTATGGGGGCTCTACAGAAAACTAAAAATAGATCTATGATGTAACCTAGCCATTTTGCTTGTAATATATACCCAAAGGAAATATCAACATACCAAAGAGATACCTGCATTTCATGTTTATTGCTGTATTATTCACAATAGCTAGATGCTTGTCAATGGAAAAATGAATAAAGAAAACATCATATACTGTATATACAAAATGGAATATTATTCAACCACAAAAGGAGTGATTTCCTATTATTTGCAGCAAAGTGGATGGAACTGAAGATTACGTGAGGTGAAATAAGTCAGGTACAGAAAGAATGGGACTATATATTCTCCTTGTGGATGCTCAAAAAAATTAGTCAATCTGAAAGCAGAACAGTGACTACTAGAATTTTAGAAGGTGACAGGAATGAGTAATAGGAGCTGGATGTGCACACAAAAACATGGCTAGATAAGAATAATAATTTCTAAGACTCTACAGAATAAAGTGGTGAGTAAAATTCTTCATAAACTTTTATTTTATGAATAACTAGGAAGATCTGGAAGGCTCCAAGCAGACAGCAATGATAAGAGAGGGAAATGATTTGAATAGTACATATTGTATATCAGTATTGAAACGTAACACTGTACCTCATAAAAATATACACTTATGTATTAATATAAATTTTTATAAAAGCTTTAAGAATCATTACTCATTGTAATTACATGTATCAAATTATGCACAGTAGCCCACAAATATGTACAACTAAAATAACACATTAAATATAAAACCCTCATAATCAGACTGTATTACTATATATATCTTATGAAGATTAAATGGGTATAGGAATTTTTCTAAATTATTTACTTTCTTTTACAGAGGTTTTACATAGTGTATCATGAACCGGCTGATATAGATAATATGGCTTTGTAATTGTCATCATCATATTATAGATCCAAAAGTGAGATTTAGAAAAACACGATATTTAAAAAAAACTCAGATATCATAGCTAAGAATAAAAAGTGGAGGCTCATTTTCTAAATCAAGTATTGATACCATTCAGTAATAAGGGGCAAACAAGGGCCTATTCATTCACATTATGGGAAGCTCGCATGGGAGACATGAGGTCCTGAAGAAGGAGAAGGAAAGGGACAAGGGATGTTTGGAATCCAGTGGGATATTGGAGTTGTTTTCCCTCTCATTTGGTATGAATGTATCTATGATATGTTTCCTAGATTTTTAACAACATAGTTGTCATTAAAGATCAAATTTGTCCAAATTTCTTAAGCATCTATAAGAAAAGAAAATTTTCATAAATGACTTTATTCTTACAATTACAAACTGGACAAAACAAATGTTTCTAGGTTGTGTTGATGCTAATTTTTGAAGAGGTATTTACAGAAAAAGAAAGAGGAAATATGAAACAATGTTGAAAATTATAGAGTGAAAATACCTCCTACATATAAAATTATGCTGGGTTTTATAAAAGCGTTTCAAGTTCCTATAATGTCCATAAGCCTCTGAATAGTATCCCAAATTAATAATAGTCACCCACAAAAAATATACTTATCAATAAGGACAATTGATACTTCCTCAATCTCACATGAAGTATGAATAAGGCATCTTTATAAAATGCTTCTACAGTGTGCATCTGTAAAAACAGTCTAAGCAAATACATGGTGCTTGTACTGTGAACACTCCTAGAGATCAGTATGTCCCTCTTCTAACTACACAATGGTGCTACCTCAGATTGAGTGCTAGTTTCTTTAATGGAGGAATCAATGGTTTTAAACTATGATTTAGCTAAACATTTTAATTTTGTGTATCACTTTTCAGAAAGCCACTTGTCCCATCAAAGTAAGGACACGTTAAAATGCTGTGTAGACCATGGAGAAGACTCAACATTGGATAAGAGTCTGGAATAATTGTGTGGGTTTTTTTGCTTTCTTATTATTTTATTGGAGTTCTAGATTCTGTAAATAAAATAGGTGCTATAAATGCATTTAGTTCACAGAGTTTAAAAGAATTAAATGAGATGCTGTAGATAAACCATCTAAGGCAGAAGGCATGGCACCCAGAAAGCAGTATGAAGTCTTCTGTAAGTGGCAGTGACTGCTATTCTTCTATTCTTACAATACAGTCCTGCCACATCATAAGAAGTAAATACTCTGAGTCCTGAGAGGGGAGCTGTCCACAAAGCATTTACAACCAAGAATCTGAGAAGTTAATAAGAGGATCTTCATCCTGCTCCAGCAAAACAATAGCAATAAAACTGTATAAATATTTTCTACGAGATGAATTTTATTAGGAGAGATAAACTAGAACAAAAAGAACAATCATAACTACAACTACTAAACAAGCTTCACTATTGAAAATAGCAATAATCTTAAAGGGACAGGGGTTTTGGTAAGGGACTCTATCAAGGAAAGCAGTTCCCTGAATCCCCCAGCCCTGAAACTTCTGAAGTCCATGCTGGCATCTGGGCTTCTGTGGCCAAGCTGTATTTTTTGGGGGGGGGGCGTGTCCTACTGGTTGACTTTACTAAAAAGACCCAAATGTAGTGTGGGAAAATGGCATTTCTTGCTGTGCCATCCTTCATAACTTGTGCTATTACAAGCCTATAAGATTGCCAGAATGCTCCTGATTTTTCTCTGCAGTCTTTCATAGCTGTAAATAAAACATTGCCAATCATTTCCCAGCAAGTACATGAAGCCTGAGATGAGAAGTACACCAGTTGATATTGGGGGTTTG